ATGCCAACCCAATGGGAGTAGGTCACACATGCGATGGCTGCTGTCCATTAAGGCACTTGCTGCACCAAATAGAAGTTATGTCGGGTGTCTCAGCCCATGACAGACGCTTACCAGACCGTCTATAAACATTTCTGGTTGGGAGTTCATTGTGATTCTGGCTGAGATCATCGTCGTGACTGCGACGTTAAAGAATTCCTGAAGAGATGGGGGCGCTCTATAAATTCCTCCTGATCAGCCAGATCACATGAACAGGAAGGCTCGTCGCCATACGAGGGTACATAAGAGTGGTTGGGCTGGCTTGCTAGGTAACGACTTGGGCACAGGGGTGGGCCGAAATACACACGAAGACACTGCCTGCTCAATGATGTTGTTCGGTACGTTGGATTGAGGGGAGGGTAGGTTCTAATTGGTGCTCAACAGGAATACACAACCATACCCACTCATCATACGTCTGCTACATTGTCTTTTTGTACTTTTGATTAGTTGGTGGACAGACTGCTAACACCTCAGAGACAGGTTAGATTAGGACTGCAGTATGCTATCATATCCAGTTCTCTCTAATGTTGGTTGTAAGTGAACCAATCAGAGTACATCTAGGCTATGTAGACAATCTGTGTGAATGTTGTAGACATGCCACTTGATCGGTACAGTAGAGGACCTGCCGGACACAACTATATTTAGAAAATTAGGTGTCGGTCAGGCACATGCTGTGGTAGGACTCCACTAGGGGGTTCTAGTGCAGATAATGTTTGCCTAATTGATGAACGGGTCAGACGTCGATGAGGAGAGAGTTGACGATGCTAGACTCACACGTGCTAGATCACGTAGGATCCCGCACGTGTTCCAGGCCTTTGAACCGGGAGAAGAAAGACGTCTGCGCAAAGCTCGTGCACTAGCAGCAGCTAGGGAAACAGTCAACGCCGCAGCTAGGGAACAGGTTGCAGCAACAGTCAGGGCAGCAGCCATGACTAGTTCAGCAGCATCCTCTGCTGCGTTGTCTGGGACCAATGGGACCATGTTGGGAATGCCAACAGGGTCCACGGGTACTTCCAGTTCATTAGGTTCTCGTCAGTCTACAAATCAAATGGCGGGCTCGCAGTTCAGCCCGTTGACTCCTCGCGAAAGGGAGCTTAGGGAGCTCCAACAGGTCGAAAGGATCCGTGAACAGTTAGAGAGGGATCTGAAGAAAGCTACCGACAAAGAAAGGGAAATCAAAAATAGAACAGCCAGGCTTGATACATTAGAGGCTGACAAAGCTGACTTAGAGGGCTTGGATGACTCTGGAATGAATGAGCCCATGAAAGTGTTGAGGAACAACATGCTGGGTACCATTAACCTTTTTGTTGTCCCTGTTGAGGAACAGGTTGTTGCGGTGGTGTAGCTCCCATCGCTGGACCTGAAGAAGAAGATGGAACAGTCTGTGCGACTGCTGCAGACGTACCACTTGGCTGTGTGCCAGCTTGTACGGGAAAGTGGCCCGACATCGTTGATAACGGCAACGACGATTGTGCTGGTGGCCTAAATCCTAGCCTTGTCAAAGCGTCCAGGATCTGGTCCAAAGTGTTCTGCATGAAGTCCAGCCTGCTGTCCACGAGCCAGGTTTAGGAGGTCTTCCTCTGCTAGGTGGCTTGGGAACAGGCGTGTCTCTGTGATCCAGGATATCGTCGACGTCCATGTGGCCATCCATGGTTGGGGGCAGCATAGATCTTCGTGATGGGAACTGTGCTATCTCAGTGAAAGGTGCAAGCTTGGAGACGTGAAAAACAGGGTATGTGTGTAGGTGATCAAGGATACGAATGACGTACGAGGGACCATCCAAATCATTCCCCACAATGTCTAAGACTTCTCAGGGACCGAAATACTGAGGCATTAGTTTCCTAGAGATGCCAAACTCCTGTCCCAACTCACTAGCCTTGACCCACACACGTTCCCCTACCTGAAATGTGGACTGTCGGCGACGTTTGTTCTCAGAAGCAATCATAGCTTCCTCATTTTCTTGATGACTTCGACAGTTTGCTGCAACAATTTCTCATATTGGACACCAAATTCAATGGTTCCAGGAGTTGCAGCAGTTTGGTTTTCAGGCACGAGGAAGTCTAGAGCAGATCTAGCCTTCCATCCCAGATGCAGTTGATTAGGACTGACGTCGGTGGTGCTGTGTACAGCATTGTTGTACAGACTGGCGATGACAGGTAGTTTCTCATCCCAATCATCCTGGCCGGGCTTGATGCAATGCCTCAACAAATGCTGCACCACACGGTTTATTTGTTCAGCCTGACCATTTGCTTCGGAATGAAACCCAGGAGTCATCTGGAGCTAGGCGCCCATCCGTTCAACGGCCTTCTTCCACATCTCGCTGGTAAACCGGACATCTCTATCACTAACAATGGTCTTTGGCAGCCCAAAGTCACGTACCTAGTTGTCCATGAACTTGATGACATGCTCAGTCCTAGCAGTCTCCGGGATGGCAACTAGTCTAGCATATTTAGTGAACCTATCTACTATAACGAAGATGTGTCGTTTGCCATTCTTGCTGGTCATGAGAGTATCCATGAAGTCCATGGAGATGCTCTGTCTTGGACCAGCATGAATGGGTAGAGGCTTGAGCAACCCAAGCGAAGCTTGAGTCCGTGGCTTGTCCCGCTGACAGACCTGAAAGGTCTGTACGTACTTTTTTGCATAGTCTAGCATGTTAGGCCACCAGAATTGTTGTACTAGATTAACACTAGTCTCTTTGTAGCCGAAATGTGTCGTTGCATCGTGACAATCACCTAAAAGAAAACACGCAAAATCTCCCTAGATGGAACAACCAACCCTTTACCCTGCCTTTTCAAGAAAGAGTAACCCATCCACCATCACAAACTCGTCGGAAGAGGCCTTGTGTTTGGCCTACATTTTGTTGATGATGTCCATCGTGATGGGATCTTCCTTGTAGGCTTCCCCCAAGGATCGAGTCACGTCCTCAGATAAGCCAAACTCATAAATCAGCGCACCTAGGTAATATGACCTTCTAGACAATGCATCTGCAACCTTGTCATACTCTCCCTTCACATAGTCTATTTTGAAGTGATACTGATCTATGACCTTAGTCCAGCGTTTGAGTGCATCGAAGAGAACTCGTTGGGTCTTGATCCACTTGAGGGTTTGATGGTCAATTCTCAAGTAGAAGAACCTTCCTATTAGATAGTGCCTCCAACGGGAAAATGCCTTGTAGAGAGCATAGAGTTCCCCCTCGTACGTGGACTTCGCCAACTTCTTTGATGGCATATTTTTGCTCATGTACTCGACCGGTCTCAACTTTTTCCCTTCCTGTTGAGCCAGCACTGCGCCAATGCCGTATTGGCTTGCGTTAGTGGTTACTACAAAGGGCCTTTGCGGATCGGGTACCATGCTACGTCTACGATGTGCTGGAAACCCCCAAACCACTCGGCCACGAACTCGGGCACGCACGCCGTTGTTCGTAGGCTGTGGGAGGCTTGAGTTCCTTCCATCCCCCCATCACAACTCTACTACTAACTTCGTCTGGGACGAAGTTAGTAGTAGAGTTGTGATGGGGGGATGGAAGGAACTCAAGCCTCCCACAGCCTACGAACAACGGCGTGCGTGCCCGAGTTCGTGGTCGAGTGGTTTGGGGGTTTCCAGCACATCGTAGACGTGGCCGACTCCATGAAAGAAATACACATATGCCTTCTTTTCGGGTTCGCACCTCTGCATCCCCTAGAAGCCACATTGGATCCTATCCTGTCGCTAACATAGTGCAAAATAGGCGCCACCAGTCTTCGGAAAGAACGACCGTCCCGACCGATTCCCCTTTGCCTTTTGCTATCTCATCCCAGCCTTCCTCTTCCCTATCGGGTTCCAAATCCGCTCTATCCATACATAGGATAATCCCGGGGCAACCTCAAACCCAACCCAGTCGCACGTGGTTCCCCTCCACTCGTTTTCGACTGGTATAGGCATTTCTATTCCTCCTCTGAGTCGCCTTGGTTCCCATTTGAAGGTGTATTCCATCATCATTTCCTCTCTAGTCATCTTTCCCGTTCCTGCACAATACCAGGCCACCCGTTCCCCCTAGGTAAGTTACCCTCCTTAGAAGTCCCAGTTCTTTATCTCATCATCTTTGTCCTCATCACTGAAGTCGTCCTCTTCGTTGTCGAACAACTCCTTCACCCCTTCCAAGAATATCTCCCCTACTGCCACATTTTTGTAGACTATCCCCCAATGCACGGAGCTAGGGACAAAGACATTGTCTATGCTAAGGGAGTTTAGCATCTCAACTAGCTCCTCCGCCCAATTCCCTTCAAACAGCCCCATTTCTATCGACAACCGAAAAAAGTCTTGCCTAGCGCACTGGTATAGCCTGTTCCGAGCTCCGAAGACCGCATCCACCAGAAAGGGAGGCAACACACATCGCATGGTTCTGACGGGTCGCCTCACGCTTCCCCTATCCCCAAGTTCCACCCGCACATCTACGCTTTCCATTTCCATTTCCCTCCGCTGACACGCAGCCCATACAACCTCCGCTTCTGCCTTCCTAAACAATTCGTCCGGCGAATTCCCAAGCGCCAAATCTATGACCATAGCATTTTCCCTGTCTTGTGACAAGTAGACCCACCCCCGGGCTTCCATTATCCCTCGGAACTCCAAATCCATTAAACTCGGCGACAACCTAATCAAGTTGACATTAGCCCATACTGTCTCTATCCAAAGAAACTCGTCCTCCCCTTCCAGCATTACGGTTTGATACGCTGGCTCAAGATCCGTCCACGTCCCATTTTCCGGGAGGACGACCGAAACCCCATCCCTTACATTTGCTGGCATTTTCGGGCCACTGGTATAGATCAGGGAAGACAACCATCGCGCCATCTCGTTTCCAGCACCCAACCCCTGTTTTCATAAGAGAGTACCAAATGGTCCTTCTGATCAGGTGAACCTCTGTCCTAGATGAGAATTATTTCAGACCCCTCATCAAGGTCTCCTTAATTTGCCTCCCCATTCCTAAGTACCACCTTCCCACAATACCCTCGGTCGGCCATCCATTTCCCCATATTCTTTCTCCTGGTTCCATTCCAGCTGACCTCTATCCTCCTTCCTTCCGATCATCTCTCACTCGTGTAGACTTAGATGGGGAGGAGAGAATAAACTTAGAATTATGCCCCGTCCAACAATCCAAGCTCAATCAATCTTTACAGAGGGCGAACACATAAAAAAAATCAGGCAACCTCATATGTGGGCCGGCCATCTCCTCACTGGCCTATCCCAATATGGTCTCTCTGTTGGTACTATCGGTAGAGTTTTATCCCATACCTCAAGCGCAACTCAACCGTCGCGAGCGCGGTACCCAGACTCCGGCATAGGGTGTTACCCCTCTCCATTCGCCCAAAATACCCCATCCCATTTTGTCGCTCTTGCATACCCTCGTTGGTACCGGGAATCACCCCGCGCACCCCGTTAGGAGCAATAGTCAGTCGTCCGGGCATTCACTTCCATCGATCCGACAAGAATCAGCCTTTCCCAAACCATGCTACGATAAGCTACTAATCGTCTTCGAGGCTCCCTCCTTGCCCTACATGCAGTGGTCCCCCTGCCGTCTGCCGACAAGCAACCGCCCCACCTGAGAATACGCTTCACACCCCGTCTGGGCAAGGTCATTGAGCCATGCTCGGACCACCCGGGTTAGAATGCTACTAATCAGTCGGCGAGACCAACTCCTGCCTGACAGCCCGGTGGCCCGACCCCCGCACATGGAACCCGACGAACTTCAAAGAGAACGACGTTTCGCAACCCTCACCAGTCGGTGCAGACCCATCCTTTCCTTCCGAAAGGCAGGACGCTCAAATCCCATCATGCAAACATAAGTCCCAAGTGGGACACACATATAGTACAAGTGTCTTTCCCTTGGTGCACCCAGCGCTTCCTACCCATAACTTCACAATTTTCTCTCAGGACAATGAGTGTCACTCCCCCTACTTTCATACACAGTGGTTGGTTCCTTCTCGTGAGAATCTTCAAAGGTGAGCTAGTTTTCCTTGGAGTCTAGCAACTCCCTTCATTCCCTCTCTTTTCACTTGTCTGTCCTTTCATAGGGTGGGGTTGTTCCTTCTTGATGACCCGTTGTGTTCATGTTGGTTCCTTCAAGCATTTCAAAGTGCAAAGAAGAGGAGAGAAGGGCACCTATTCGGTCGGATCACTCCGCCGCAAGATTTTCATTGGACCCCAGCCGAAGTCGAAGCACCAACCGTCTGCCAGGTAACCGGAGCCCTTCTTTCGCACGAAGAGGAAGGGTCGACCTGCGACTTGCCCAAGGCTTCCTCGGACTGGCGAACACCAGCACCGGACGAAGGAGGGCTAGAGCCATTTCCCAACGAAACGGCTAATCAAGTGCATAGCATGCATGTTATACATCCAGGCCTGGTCATGCCATGCGCCCAACCACTCTCAAATCTGATTCGCACAAGGGAAAGAGCAATCACAAGTCCATTTTCCTTATCTTGGGTTGTGTACATGTCGATGCGTCGAGCGTCCCCGTTGGAATCGCAAGGGTCAGTTTAACTCTTACCCGGCATCTCCACCATTTTTGTAGGGTCAACCCCCGGTAGACTTTCGAGCCTTAGTCGACCCCAGTGCGCGTCCTAGTTGGCTCGGCCCGCCCACGCTCATGCTCAGGGCACGGGCCATTCGTCCCAGGGTCACCCCCGCCTAGTGCTTTGAGATGGATGGGGATGGACCATCGCGCGAGAGAGCTTTGACATTGGGGATGTAGCTCAGCCCTCACGCCGGGTGCCAGTGTCGCTAGTCAGTCGGCAACGCTGATGTTTTTTTGATTCTTGGTTATGTTCTCAAGCAATTGCTCCTTCCAGTACGGAGGCAGTCCATGGGTTCTTTGAGAGTTTTCTTCTCTTGTGCGTAAGCTAAGCGTCATCCTTAGGCCGCGCACCATTTCCCTAAGCATTGTGACGGCGTCATCGGGGTGCGGCGATGTCGTCCTCCCCCTTGCCTCTACGCACCCATCGGGTCTCATACATCTCCTTCAACCCTATTGACGCAGGCCCCTTAGTCTTTTCGGGGTTTTTCCGTGCATGCACACACAACTTCACATTTCCCTTGGCAAGATTGCACTCCATTCCCTCATTCACAATCCAAGTCTCAAGCGCAAAGGTCATTTCCCTAGATTGGCTTTGTGCTAAGGGTCCCGTAGCCCCTTTGCCCCTCTTCCCTTTTCATTTTGCCGCCCGATTCCTCCCGGCCCTATCCCGCTCGAGGCATCCCTAGCCATCACTTACCTGCACAATCCCACACAAAGCAAAGATCCATACAATCCCCCGTTGGGGGTCAACACATAGCCCTTCCCACATGCCTATCTTTCCATGCTCTTTGGCTGCTCTTTGTTCCCTTTCTTTGCTCAATCAGCCCATCCTCTTCTCATAGTCATGCACTCGGAAAAATGRTTGAGTCAAACTGACCTTGCTTCAACTTATACTTTCTCCCGGATTCCGCCCCTTTCCCACTTTTCCAAACGTCCTTTCTTTTGCGTTTTTGGTGGCACAAGGGACCGACTACCCTTCCCTTGCCCTCTTTCTCCACCAAGTGAGGTCTGATCTCTTTTTACCGTTCGCACCATAGCAATGTAACAAGNGACCTTGCTTCAACTTATACTTTCTCCCGGATTCCGCCCCTTTCCCACTTTTCCAAACGTCCTTTCTTTTGCGTTTTTGGTGGCACAAGGGACCGGCTACCCTTCCCTTGCCCTCTTTCTCCACCAAGTGAGGTCTGATCTCTTTTTACCGTTCGCACCATAGCAATGTAACAAGGGGAGAAGAGTTAGTCATATGCCAAGTGAGGGGARGAGAGAGAGAAGGCMRKGCGAGGAGGGAGAGAGAGAGGRGTGRGAGAGRRAGAGAGAGAGAGAGAGAGAGAGAGAGAGAGAGAGAGAGAGAGAGAGAGAGAGAGAGAGAGARAGAGAGAGAGAGGGAGAGAGAAAGAGAAGGAGAGATAAAGAAGAGAGAGAGAAAGACAGAAGAGATTTCTAATCCTAATCAAATCATCACCCCGTAGTAGCAGCTAAATGTCGGTCACCCATCCCATAGTAGTAGCAGCCAAATGTCGGTCACCCATCCCATAGTGAAAGATCAACTAAGTATGAACCGGAACATTACACCATACATGAACTTGACAATGAGAAGCTAGACTAGTGAAAGGCACATGCACTTAGAGGAGAGATCAACTAGGTATGAACCAGAACATCACAACACACATGAACTTGACAATGGGAAGCTAGAATTAGTGAAAAGCACGTGCACATAGAGGAGAGATCAACTAAGTATGAACTGGAACACCACAACGCAAATGAACTTGACAATGAGAAGCTAGAACTAGTGAAAAGCACACGCCCCTAGAGGAGAGATCAACTAAGTGTGAACCGGAACATCACAACACACATGAACTTGACAATGAGAAGCTAGAACTAGTGAAAAGCACATTCACATAGAGGAGAGATCAACTAAGTATGAACCGGAACATCACAACACACATGAACTTGACAATGAGAAGATTGAACTAGTGAAAAAACACTTGCACATAGAGGAGAGATCAACTAAGTATGAACCGGAACATCACAACACACATGAACGTGACAATGAGAAGCTAGAACTAGTGAAAGGCACATGCACATAGAGGAGAGATCAACTAAGTATGAACTGAAACCCTTCGGCATACATGAACTTGACAATGAGAAGGTTGAACTAGTGAACGACACATGCACATGGAGGAAACATCCACTAAGTATGAACCGGAACATTACACCATACATGAACTTGACAATGAGAAGCTAGACTAGTGAAAGGCACATGCACATGGAGGAGAGATCAACTAGGTATGAACTGGAACATCACAACACACATGAACTTGACAATGAGAAGCTATAATTAGTGAAAAGCACATGCACATAGAGAAGAGATCAACTAAGTATGAACCGGAACACAACAACACACATGAACTTGACAATGAGAAGCTAGAGCTAGTGAAAAGCGCACGCCCATAGAGGAGAGATCAACTAAGTATGAACCGGAACATCACAACACACATGAACTTGACAATGAGAAATTAGAACCAGTAAAAAGCACATGCACATAGATGAGAGATCAACTAAGTACGAACCGGAACATCACAACACACATGAACTTGACAATGAGGAGATAGAACTAGTGAAAAAACACTTGCACATAGAGGAGAGATAAACGAAGTATGAACCGGAACATCACGACACACATGAACGTGACAATGAGAGGCTGAAGTACTGAAAGGCACATGCACATAGAGGATAGATCAACTTAGTATGAACCGGAACATCACAACAGACAATGAGAAGCTAGAATTAGTGAAAAGCACATGCACATAGAGGAGAGATAAACTAAGTATGAACCGGAACATCACAACACATATGAACTTGACAATGAGAAGCTAGAACTAGTGAAAAGCACATGCACATAGAGGAGAGATCAACNCAACACATATGAACTTGACAATGAGAAGCTAGAACTAGTGAAAAGCACATGCACATAGAGGAGAGATCAACTAAGTATGAACCGGAACATCACAAGACACATGAACTTGACAATGAGGAGATTGAACTAGTGAAAAGGCACATGCACATGGAGGAGAGATAAACTAAGTATGAACCGGAACATCACAAAACACATGAACTTGACAATGAGAAGTTATAACTAGTGAAAGACACTTGCACATGGAGGAGAAATCAACTTAGTATGAACCGGAACATCATAACACACATGAACTTCACAATGAGAAGGTAGAACTAGTGAAAGGCACTTACACATGGAGGAGAGATGAACTAAGTATGTATCGGAACATCATCACGTGAGAGTTGAGCCATGTATGTGAGTGAGACTTGCTCAAACACATGCTCATGGCTCATGTATGCTACAAAGGTTTGAGACAGAATGCCATCAGATGAGAGTTGAGCCATGTATGTGAGTGAGACTTGCTCAAGCACATGCCCATGGCTCATGCATGCAACCAAGTGTTGAAATAGTCTGCCATCATGTGAGAGTTGAGTCATGTATGTGAGTGAGATGTGCTCAAACACATGCCCATGGCTCATGCATGCAACCAAGTTTGAAATGGAATGTCATCTTCTACTATGCGAGCGGAAGGCACAAGCTAGACCAGTCGCAAAACCCAAATCTTGAGCACGAAATCATTCATGGAAGAATCGGAGCATCTTCTACTAGCATGTGCGTGAAGAGCAAGAGTTGAAGTAGACCAAATCACAAGCATTGAGCAAGAGATCACGCATGGAAGAATCGGAGTATCTCCTACTAGCATGTGAGTGAAAAGCAAGCTCTACATTAGTCCAAATCACAAGTAATGGGTATGAGCCCATCCATGAAAGAATCGGAGCATCTCCTACTAGCATGTAAGTGAAAGCAAGCTCTACACTAGACCAAATTACAAGTATTGAACATGAGATCATCCATAGAAGAATCAAAACATCTCCTACTAGCATGTGAGTGAAATGCAAGAGTTGAAGTAGCCCAATCACAAGAATTGAACATGAGATCATCCATAGAAGAACCGAAA